GATTTATCATTATACTATGATGAGTTCCAACAGAAGACTAAAGACAATAACAACATCGAAGAAATCTGGACACTATTTAAAGACAAACTCCAATTGCTTATGAAAGAACATATACCACAGAAGACAATAAAGAACAATAAAGACAATAAAAAATGGATAAATAAAGAAGTGAAATCAGCAATAAGAAAGAGAAATAAGCTATTCGATAGAGCAAGATCTACCCATAAAAAGAAAGATAAAGAGAGGTATAAAGAAGCCAGAGCAGTAGCGCAGAAAACTCAGAGAAAGGCATAGTGGGATTATGTAAACAATCTGATTGAGGTGGGAGATCCCGACAGCGAACAGAACCCGGGGAAACAAAAACGTTTTTGGAATTATATTAAGAGCCTGAGAAAAGACAACAGTGGTATAGCACCCCTTAAAGAAGATGGCAAAATGCACGACGATCCCAAAGATAAAGCGAACATCCTAAATAGACAATATGAATCAGTTTTTACTCATGAGGATACACAGAATATTCCAAAACCATCTGGGAATCCCTTTCCATCAATGTCTGATATACATGTCAATAAAACCGGTGTCCTCAAACTCCTCAGGAAAATTAACCCAAATAAAGCTTGCGGGCAGACTTGATCACAGCCAGAATCTTAAAAGACTTGTATGATAACATCGCTCCATACTTGACAACTATTTTTCAGAAAACACTCGATCTTGGCAATATACCTGCAGACTGGAAAAATGCAAATGTAACTGCGATATTCCAAAAAGTAGACAGATTTAAAGCCAGTAATTACCGCCCTGTATCTCCAACGTGCCTATGCTGTAAACTTCAAGAGCATATTATAACTACGAACATCCTTAATCATCTGGACACTTACAGCATACTCACCGATTGCCAGCATGGTTTCAGAGCACGCAGAAGTTGTGAAACACAGCTACTCACACTTACTCATGAACTAGCATCATCACTAGACAAAGGAGGGCAACAAGACCTGATTATATTAGATTTCTCAAAAGCTTTTGATAAAGTTCCGCACCAAAGGCTACTCACCAAACTAGATTTCTACGGAATTAGGGGAACAACTTACCATTGGATTAAAGCCTTCCTCAATGAAAGATCACAGCATGTTATAGTAGAGGGCGCAACATCGGAGAAGGGCACTGTCCTCGGGCCGTTACTCTTTCTGCTCTTCATTAATGATCTGCCGGATTGTGTTACATCAAGAACGAGGTTATTTGCTGATGATGCAGTTGTATACAGACAAATAAACACAAAGAAAGACACCGAACTCCTTCAAAAAGACTTTATTGAACTAGCAAAATGGGAAGAAATCTGGGGTATGTCATTCCATCCTGATAAATGCAACATCCTTAGAGCCACAAGAGTTAGATTCCCCATCATACACAACTACCATCTTAAAGGACAACTACTAGAAACAGCAGATACAACCAAATACTTAGGCGTTGACATCACAAAAGACTTAAATTGAACTAATCACATCGAGAGGGTAGTGAAGAAAGCCAACAGCATGCTAGGCTTCCTGCGCAGAAACTTGAACATCACGAGCCAAGACACTAAATCAGCAGCCTACTTCACATTAGTAAGGCCAAATCTTGAATACTGTGCTTCGATCTGGAATCCCCACAACAAGAAACAGATAAAGAAAATTGAAATGGTACAATGAAGAGCAGCCAGATTTACCACCAGGCGTTATCGCAATACCAGCAGCGTAACAGATATGTTAGACACTTTAGAATGGGAATCTCTATCATCCAGAAGATGCAAAATTCAGCTTACCATGCTATACAAGATAATCAACAACCTAGTAGACATAACATCTCATTTACAACTAGAGCTACTAGATCAGCACATACCCTGAAGATGAATCAGCATCAGACTAGGACAGACACCATGAAATACAGCTTTTTCCCTAGGACAATTCCAGAATGGAACAGACTACCAACATCCATTGCTGAGGCTCCTGAATTGGTATCCTTCAAGCAGGGGCTCACCACACTCCACTTCTAAACAGCTATCGTCCAGCTTGTAAGTAGACCCCAGCGAAGATGGGAGCTATGCCGATTGGGATCATTAGATCCCAGGGCCGCTACGGTAGTCGGATTGGTCTAATCGGAGGAGTTGAAAACAAGCTGGTACACACACTTTTATCTCTTTTATTCTGTTTTTAATCACTAATTTTTACCGCCAGCGCCGCTCACCGAAACGTAAAGGTCTAAGAAGACCGTGTTTTCGTAACCTATAGATGTAGATGTAGAATACTTCGTAACATAATTTATGTTAAGAGGTCTCGGATCAGTAAAGGTTTTCACTAATAGATATTAATTAATCTTTTGTCTTAAAATGCCACTGGCGATTTCTGAAACGCATGTTGGGCATGGGTTATAATATTATAATACATGTTTAGTTGTTATAGACTCTATTGCGTAACATTAATCATTTGTATGCTGTCGATGCAGACTTCACGACATTAATGTTTTGTAAGGTGGCAAAAAATCATTATAAATACGTCTTGGAAGTTGCATCCGATGTAAATTTTAATATTCTAGGCTATTCCGACGCGGCCACTCAGGAAAAAATAAAGATGTAGCCTACATGTTTCTCGGGTGATCTCCCTTTGATTACATAGTGACCATGGCGACGATCGAGGAGCCGGGAGTTGGAAAACAAATTCAAAGCATAAATAACTAGGCTGTCAGAGGAAAAGAGAATACATTATTTTTTTTTTAAACATTTCAGCATAATGATGAGTTATAAATCAACTTCTTGAAGGAAAAGTCTTGGGTCAGGACTGAGGCACGTAGTACACAAAATGTCGACTTTATTGCATCTACATGCAGCCATGCTTAGCGAAAATTTTTCGTACTTTTTTGTAGGGTAATCCCCGCTATTTTCACAGTGTGAGTCGGTGCTAAGGTATTTGAATCGATTAATTTCGATGTGGCCACACCTCTCGAACAAAATAAAGATATACTGTATTTATTCATATTTTAATCATCTTTTCAATGGTATAAATTTTATTTTGTTCGAAGGGTGTGGCCACAGCAAAAATTTGAACCAAAGACGAAAAAAATGCTTTATTTTGATAAAAACTAGCAAAGTGCACGTGTTTAGACGTTTTCTGTACAAATATGACGTCATCAAATAAAAAAAAATTGGCATAATTTTTTTAAGTTTGATACCGAAGGATAATATGCCTATTGTTAATTTTCTTCTTTCTCTCTGTTTAATTTTCCTGAAAAAATAGGCCGATTTAGCCCCTTCGTGGATTTAGCTCTTTTGAACAAATAATACTTACGGACTGTTCTGGGCTTTATTTCATTAAATCAAATCGGTATGCATAAAAACAATCCTTGACTTTACTTTGTTTTGTATATCTTTGTTCTTTTATACGCTACACAAGACGTATTTGACACCTACCGCATTTCCTCCGTTCGTCAACAATAGGCCTAAAATTTGCCGCAACATCTATCATATGAATCAATTGGAAAATGCCCATGGTTAAAAATATTGAAAGATTCAATCATTTGTAATAAGAAATAGACAGCCGCTATAATGATAAAATATTTATTCTCCCAGGAGACACACAGAAAAAATATCTCCAACAAAACTTTGTTGTTTTTTGTTTTTTTGTTTTTTTTTTTAAACATATGTGATTATTTTAGTTATCAAACCTTTAACTGTTTAGGGATTCTAGACTACGTTAAAAGTTTTAAGAACAGGTGGAAGGGATTGGGGAGCTTACTCCTGTATTTAATTCTACAGATCTAAACCCCCCCCCCCACCTTCCCCATCACCAGTTTGCCTCTGGCTCCTTTGATACCATATACCTTACTTGCATGTAAAAAATGAATTATTAAACAGTGTTTACATCAGGTTTTACTTATTTGGGTATTGTAGCACAAATCACATTGGGGGAGGGGGGGGGGCTTTAGTCTCATTTTTTTTGAGTTATTATCAATCCATGCGCAAACAAGATAATCATAGTAAAACTTTGTAATCAAGAAACATATACTCTTTTAAAGAACAGGTGAACACAATATACATGCTGAAATTTAGATCTTGTTGGTACCCAAAAACACAGACAGGCACGTAGCCAGAATGAAGTGAAATGTACGCAGAGAACGGCTGGGGTCCGCTTTGAGACCCCCAGTTGGTCCAGGGCGAAGCCCTGATGAGGAACCATGGGCGAAGTCCCTGGAAGCTCATGGGTTTTACCAAATATTTCATTCAAAAGCATGCCATTTCGATTTTCTTTAGAAAATACAAGACATAGTACTTAATATTGCTTTTAACATATATTTATTGTACATGTACATGTAGAGGCTGAATATTTTTTAAAAATGATATATTGGTATCATCTACTCTTTTTTAACTTTCAGCAACAAATATAATTAATTTCAATTATTAACAAAAATAATGTTATATTTCAAATCATATTCTAGTGGATCACAGCATTCAACGGTTGATATTTTCTCAAAGATCTTTAAAAAAAATTATCAATGTGTTGTAGAAGAATTACAAATTAATAAATGTTTTATTTGGTTGTGGCAATGATTTAATAAAACATTACAATTTTTTCTTATAAAGACATGGTATTATAAAATTTGAATTTGAATCGAAACAGTATGAGATAAAATAATTTGAAACACAAATATTTGCTGGATGGTATTGATATTTTTTCTCTTCTCACAAATCTCTCCCTCCCCCCCCCCCCCATCCAATTTTTTTAATTTGAAAACGATGTATACACATCTGCGTATTTGCGTATATGCAGCTACGCGCCTGTCAGAATATATTCAAGTAAAGATATTCAAATCTTAACGGCCTTCAAACTTTCACACCATTGTACTGTTAAAAATTCAAAGTATTATTTATCTAGAAAATTTATTTAATTAAAAACAGCTTTTCAAATTCAAAGGCAGGCTGTGAAAGGATTTCTGAGCAGGTGCAAAATATTTCAAACAGTCCACGGTTCAAA